GTTCTGTGTTTACAGGATTCTTTATATATTGTTTATATATCTGTACTGTTCACAGATTTGTTTTGCATTTTGATGGGGTTTCTTTTTGTATTATTATTAATAGGAACAGTACTATATTGTAAAGCAAAAAAAAAAATGCAATTCCAGGGTGCTCTCTGTTCATGAAATATTTTTGCAATTCCAGATGGTTTCAGTTTCTCCATCTGTGGAAATACATTTAAAGATTTTGTTTAAAAAAAAATAGAACCTAAGCAACTTTCATGTTCTGTTACTACACATATGTATTCCTAGAAAGTATCCACTGATGCAGGCTATAAATGAAGTAATAGAAATTTATATCAAGACATAATATATACTTATGTATAAACATAGCTTACTATCAGGTTCTGGATCTGAATCTATTGTCAATATTTGCATTTGTTTGTGAACAGTTTCATTTTTTAAAAAGCTGCAAGACAGAATTTATTAGGTGAATCTTCTCCATCACATCCACACTGCTATGTTTATTCATCTTCTGTAGCTGTTAAGGATATAAAAATCACATCAGAGAAAAGTGGATAGTCAATACTCCTATATATGGGTACATTAAAATGTTAGCTGAGTTGTGTATATTTGTCCATATTTTTCACCCTGATTGTTTATAAGATCATTTAGAATGATCTGCTACACAAAGAATATATTCATTAGGTGCTGTTCCCAGAATGTTCTCTGTATGCAATATGTGATGCTGAACACTATTTTCTGAAAATGATACAAGCATACTTAGCTGATCTTAGTGATCTGGGCAAGAATTATGTTTTTCTCCACCTGTGTAATCACATAACATAAATGTGATGCTGAACACTATTTTCTGAAAATGATACAAGCATACGTAGCTGATCTTAGTGATCTGGGCAAGAATTATGTTTTTCTCCACCTGTGTAATCACATAACATAAATATGCGAGAATATGGTTGGTGTTATGTCTTTCTGTAAACAAAATGAGTGCAATTATTGCTGAAATAAGATCAACAACCATAGCAACAAGAAATTTACGAATTTTGTACAGAGCATTAGCCTATCTAACAGAATTCAAACTCAGCCTATGGCTGAGGAATTCTGGGAGTTAAGTCCAGACATCTTAAAGTGACCAAGGTTTAGAAATTTACATCTTCTATAATTTCTAACAAAGTCTTCCAAGACCCATCGGAAGATGTTTTGATTGAATCTCAGATATACTCTATTATTGGATTATAGTTCTTCCAGCACTGAACAAGATATTTCTATATTCCACATTTCCAATGCTCTCTAGGGTTTATGTGAAATAATAATGCACATATTAAACTATTGGAATAGTAGCAAAATATAGATGTAGAAGCAGTCCTTACATTGTATATTCTTGCTTTTAAGGTATGAAATCTAAAAATAATTAAAAATGAAAATACCTCAGTTCTGATGACAATTTTTAGTAATGAATACAAAACATTTCAAATCTAAAATGTTTGAGCATAAAATGCTCCATTTTGAATTTGAAATGCTGATTCTGATTTTCAGCTTCAAAAGCATTCCAAGCTTGAAACAGCCCCATCTGAAATGCAAAATACTTATTTTAAATTCAGTTTTGAAATGCTTTCAAACTGGCTAAAACCAGATATAATGTTTTCGCAAGAGTGCAACAAGCTCTCCTGAACTCAAAATAGCCGTTTCAGTCTTCAACTGGACATTTCACATTCAAAATCTTAAGAGTCCAAAACACAGGTTTTGAGTTGTGATCGCTGCAAATGGGCTGCCTGTCTCTTGCTGTTGCACAAGAGCAATGTGATTTATAGGCCATAAATTATATACATACTTAAAACAGTCAAATTTAAACTATTATTCAATCAGTGCATTAAGGCAGGTGATCATCCTTAATGCCCTTGGTGAAACTATCTGTCCTTTTTACCTGTTGGCTTTAATAGCCTTAAACAATTGGGGACCCTAAACATCAGGCTAAGTTTCTCTTAACCCACTTGAGCCTTGCAATTGGGTTTCCAAGGCCTTTTTTTCAACAAGCTCTATTAAATTAGATGTTTTTAATGGGCCTTTTTTACACTGACCCCTTCAATTTAGAACTATCTCAGGGTTGTCACAAAGAAGAGGGAGTTAAGCTGTTCTCCAAAGCACCTGAAAGCAGGACAAGAAGCAATAAATGGAAACTAATCAAGGAGAGAAGCAACCTAGAAGTAAGGAGAAATTTCCTGAGTTAGAACAATTAATCAGTGGAACAACCTGCCTCCAGAGGTTGTGAATGCTCCAACACTGGAAGATTTTAAGAAGAGACTGGACAGCCATTTGTCTAAAATGGTATAGGGTTTCCTAAGCAGGGGATTGGACTAGATTACAGTGGTGGCGAACCTATGGCACTCGTGCCAGAGGCGGGATCGGAGCCCTCTTTGTGGGCACATGTGCCGTTGCCCCAGCCTTGCCTCCCCCCGTGACCCCCTCCTCCAGCAGCCCCCCTGAAGGAGCGTCGCCCCAGAGCGTGGCGCACATGGAACAGCACAGCCAAGAACATGGCAGCCAGGTAGCGTAGACAAGACTCTGCATTCACACCCCATCATGCAGTTGATGCTGCGGGGCGCGGGCAGAGGGTGTGGCCGCCATAGCGCTGCTGGGCTGCCTGGGCAATCTGCAGCAGGCCCTGGAGGCGGTGAGTGGTCCTGTGGGCAGGCAGGGCAGGGATGGGGGGCAGGGCAGGGGCAGGGAGGTGGAGCGGGGGCGGGGCCAGTTTTGGGGCACTCGGTCTCTGAAAGGTTCACCATCACTGGACTAGAAGATCTCCAAGGTCCCTTCCAACTCTATTATTCTATTCTAAATACATTCTGGCCCCTTTTCTGTATGTTTTCAGAACCCTAAAGGCTGAATAATTTTATAATTGGATAATTCTATAATTCATGTTATAATCATATTACTTATGGTTATTTATAGTTACGTAGTTTGTAACTAATTATGATGTTTTAATTGACATTAGTTGTATAAGTTGATATGTGAAGAGACACTGTAAAATTATTAAATAATGAAGCCAGTATAAGTCAAAAGTGAATCTTGCTACCATACATGAATTACAAGTTGAGATGAAAAAGTTATTACTTTTCAAAACTGATAGTACTGCCTAGTTTTATATGAGTATCTCCCAATAAAAATAATTTTGAGAATTTTGCATGTTTTCTGCAATTATTAAGAAGCTATTAAGGAAAGGCTAGACATACATGTGCCCATTTAAGATTTTATGAGTAATGTATTTGTACTCCACCTTTACTATTTTTACAATTAACTGAAGGTATCCAACACACTCTCCTACAATTTTCCCCACCACAACCCTGTGAGGTGAATTGGGCTGAGAGTGACTGGCCCAGGGTCACCCAGCCCGTTTTCATGACTAAGGCAGGACTAGAACTCACAGTCTCCTGCTTTCTGCAAAGACAATTATGTCCCTGGAAATTTTTTGTTCTATTATTATTAATCATTCTATTTTACAGTATATCCAAGGAATTGCAGGAAAATACTCCTGATAATATCTCGTGATTGGTCACCTCAAATGCCCAAATGTAACTTATTTTATAAGTGCTAGCCAAAAGTAGATCCAAATTTGGGATTTGCTGGTCTGTAGAAATAAACCTAAGTTATTTTATTCAAGTAAACCAACTGGCTCTCCTGCATGAGTAATCTTGACCTCTGTTATCTAAATGGTGTTTTTTTTCTGAGAAACACCTGGTGTTTGTTTCAATAGTTCATGATCCAGATGACATGGATTGGTCCAATTCGCCGGCTTTGTTTGTACAGTACACCTAGCCTGGTTACTAAATTAAGTTTTTTTTCTTGTATTGCACAATATACGGAACCATCAATGTTGAGTCCACACAATGCACAATCAATCCGGATTTTTTGAAACACTAACCTAATTTTGTATACTATCTGAATGCAGTTGCTAAGTTTTGCAATTGACCTGGTTAAACATGAGAGGGGGAGACTATGCCTCTGCTTTTTTTTTGGTGATACCTGGTAGAAAAGGGGGGGGGGGGAGTAGGAAAAAAAGGAATTAGAGCCCCGTGATGGAACCTCAGAAGGCGGTTCTGCAGAAAGCCCCAGAACCCGACTATTTTTTCAATCCTGTCTCCGGGACGAGGGGCTGTTTTGGAGGACTTGGGTTACATTCGCGGGCTAAGCCGCCAACCTGGCGCAACGTCAGGCCACGCCTTGTTGGAGGAGCAACCTCAGCGGCTTTCTGTTGCCTCTCGTCTGGGCCCTTAGCCAAGGGAGCCTTCCGCCGACGAGCCCGGCTCGAGGGGACCAACTCCTCTGGAGCCCAGGGAAAGCAATCGCCCGACTGAGGCGTGCGCCTGCGCGCGCCCAACTCTGCCTGATATACACAGGCGCACATGCCTTCGCTCCCCTTCTGGGCTGCGGCGGCGAGGGAGGGGGCGAGCCAGAAGCTGGTGCTCTGCGCGAAGGAGGCACAAAAGAAGCGGGGTCGCTGGAGACGGCGGGCTCGGGGCAAGGGCTGCGTTTCCTTCCGTCCTGAATGGAAGCCCCGCTCGGCCGAGCAGCTTCGGATCTCCGCCGCCTGCAGACCAGGCGGGCAGACCGGACCCGCGCTCAGGTTTTGCTCCAGGGACTGAAATGCTGCGGCTGGCGGTGCTGAAAGGAAGAAGTTGTTTAGCATCCTTCACCTCGCCCTCGCTGCTGTAAGCCGACGGGAGGCGATGCTGCAAGCCACCGCGACCGTCTCCTCGAGTGCTCCCCTGCCGGCCGAAGGCTCCCCGGAGCCCAACCAGCCCGCCCGCCTGTGAAGAGAAGCCAGGGAAAGGCGCCGGGCGAGCGCGAGCGATTCTGGAGCTCTCACCGGATTCATCGACGCGCTGCTGCTGCTGCTGCCGCCTGTGGCGGCGGCCCCCGAGTCTGGCGTGGTGGAAAATCTTTGCCCCCCCCCCCGCGGCTGGCACCCGTGTAGCAGCAGCTTTTGCCTTGGTGGATGCGTATGAATGAGTTCTGCACCGAATGGGCGCAAAAAGCGCCCCAGGTCCACCGGTTCGATCTTCCAAATCGGCAAAACGTCGCTGCACGGCAGGGACTGCGAAGGCCGAGACAGCAGCAGCACCGAGGGCGTCCCTAAGACCCAGAGACTAGCCCTGGATGACTGCAAGATGGTGGGTACCGCGCAGCTGCGCCCCCTCCCATTTGTTTTTGGACGTGTTTGTGTGGCTCAGTGAAAGGGACCACTCCTCTCCCCCTTCCCTGGTCTCCCGCACTCCTTGCCTATTCCGATCACGTGCAGCTGCACTATTTTTAAAACTGCAGTCCGCATTTGAGTTGACACCCTTTTTGCTCAAGTAGCAGCTTCGAAACCGGGGCTTGCGAGGCGTGCGTGCGTTACAATAATGGTTTTTAAAAGCCTTGGGTGTTTTATGGGCTGAAGAAAGAGCTCACGTTTATACATGCTTCGTAGGAAAGGTAAAGAAAGATGGGAAGGGGGTGGATTTTGGAACATTGACTTGCGTGTTCAGTGGACACTACAGAAGTACGAAACATCTGCTGGTTGGTAGTATTTTCCCACCGTGTAATCTGGAACCATATTATACACCTTGTGTAGACCTCATGTTGCAGAAATCCAGAGCAAGCACTTTCTATGTTTCCTCTTAATTTCAGAAGTGGGAAATAAGAAAAATAAATCCCATGCAGTTCTGCTGGCTCAATAGAAAACAAGGTTGTGAATGCACATGGAGGTGATATCAAAGAATGTGCATCTGTCTTTCAGGCCACAGTTGTGCTAACTTACTGGTGCAAATAGCAGCTGTGCCTGTTGATCTATGAACTAACTTGCCATTTCAACCTCCAGGGTAGATAGGAATTAATCTACCAGAAGTATATTTGTGCCAAATCCAAATTACGTTGAACTTTGGTGCAATTGAGCTCTGTAGTATGGTTAACTTCATTAAGATACAGTTCTAACATCAGAACTGTTCTTTTTTTAAGAAAATACATTTTTATGCTATCTTGTGCAGTTAAAAAGATAGAATCATAGTACTTGATAAGAAAAATCTATTCTTAGCTTTCTAATTTCCCTATTTAGGTATTTTGGAATCTATTGTTTGCAGATACTTCTTAGGCTAATATTTTGGGGACTATGACTGTAAACAATGCATGATTTTTTAAAAAACTCAATAGTTACACAAACATTTTGGTTGCAATCATATATAGATTTATTTCAGAATACTGAATTCAAAAGGGATTAACTTTTGCATAAACTTGTTTAGGAATGTAAATTGCCTTGAGCTTCTAATTTTTGTATAAATATTGAATTTGTCGGAGTTAGCTGAGAAGGTCTGAGCCTTCATAAATCAAGAGAATTTTAGAATTACTGTTTTTATTTCGATGTGATCTAAGTCAGGGGTCCCCAACCCTGGTCTGTGGACCGGTACCAGGCCGCAACATGCCAGCAACCGGTCCGCACAAACAAGCAAAGCCTATCGGTGGGATGCAGGCAGCACACAAAACCATGCATTCTCCGATCCGCGGAAAAACCTCTCTCCACGGAATCGGTCCCTGGTGCCCAAAAGGTTGGGGACCTCTGATCTAAGTAGTCCGAACACAGTGGGCTGAGATAGGCTGCAGACCAGTCTTCTTTTTCAGATGCGTTAGGTTGGAATAGGCATTTTCCTTCAGCAAGACTTGTGTGTCCTAAAACAGACAAATTTATATTGAGATTTGTGTAATTAGCACTTCATAAGGCTGCTATACATATATTAATGGGATTCTTACTGCAATATATGAATGTAAATAAAGTCCATTTTGTAAATTGAAACTACAGATTATTTGCGCTGAAAATCTTCAATTATGGAAATATGTGAACTGAGCTCTGAAAGTTACAATATTGAATTTAGTCATTTTCTTTAGAAAATAATTTACTTAAACTTTTTAGTATTCTTTTCATTTTAGAGCATTTAAAAAAAATCTTCCCATTTAACTTTCTTTTATACAAACTTACAGTCGTGAGTTTACAAAATGTTAACCTTTAAAAATAAAGCCTGACATTCATAAGGTTCTATTAAGGCTCATCAAGTATCACAAAAGAGTTTTTGAGGGTAGTGTTTTCAAGCCTTGATTTGGGCAGTTTGTCAAAGGCGATTTTCTTTGTCAGGGCCATAACATGCTAATCTGGAAGGGAATTTTATCACACAGTGCACAACAGTCCCTTGGAGTTGATTAGCCAGAGAATCCAGCTATGGGGGTGAAGTATTTCTGAAAATGCTAGCATAGGTCTCACTTTGTACAACAGAAATGTTGAGAATATAGTTTGGGGTTAGGGTTATGGCAAAATATATGTCAATGCAACAATAACATGTACTGTTTTTGGATACATATATTCAAAAGAAGGGATGCCATTTTATGATAGTTTGAGGGTTAAATGGTGGACAAATCTGAACTATCTTCCAAATTAATGTTAGAATATATTGTTAATCCTTTTCCTTGTTGCATACATATACAAACGTAATTTGTCTCAGAAGAAAAATCAGCAATAGTAATTGTATGAAACAAAATAATGACTCATTTAACCCTGAAGCCTTGAGTTTGAAGCTTTTTTTATATACAGACTAAAGTACTGGTACAAATATTAAATGGCAAGGGATTTTTCCTCCTATATAAATAGCCAGATTTTTAAGAATAGTAAAAACAGTCTTAGAGCCAGAAAAAAACAGTTTTAAAATAAAATAGAGCAGTGAGGTACACATTCCACTCCTGATAGATAGCAAGTCAGAAAATTGGGGTAGGTGGGGGGGAGATTAGGGCAGGGGGCATAGAGGAGAAACTATTTCTGGAAACATTATCTTCTTTCATGATAAAATATTTGGCTTCCGGGGAAAAGAAAAGCTGTTAGTCAGCCAGCTTCAGCATGTAAAAACACTTTCAAAGGCTTAAAATATCTTCATTTCCCAGTGAAAATGCATGCTCTGGGCGAGCAAAGGGCAGCTTTTATAATATGCTTCATTATTTATGGCATGGTAGGGGGGGCAGATCTTCGTTCTGTTTCAAATGCCTGGATCAGCACAGCTGGAGCAACTTTTTAAAAAAAATCCTGCCTTTCACTGCAGCAAAATGTTGGTTGTATGTAAATAGATTTTTTCTTTCTCTTTCTCAGCTTGTCCAGGACTTCAACACCCAGGTGGCTCTGTATCGGGAATTGGTCATTTCCATTGGGGATGTCTCAGTCAGTTGCCCAGCGTTACATGCTGAAATGCACAGAACACGTACCAAAGGATGCGAGATTGCCTATCAGGCACACCAAAAGCTCTCTGCAATCTCTGGGTAGGAGATTCTTTCCATCTACTTGCCTGAGTTGTTACCAGTTCTGTTCAAGGCTTAGGAGCAAGAGTATTGGATAGCCACTATTGTATTTTAATGACCTGGATTTTAGTTAAAAGGTTTAATTTGTTCGGAGCTGGCTTTGGGGTTAGGAAAGCACCTCTTTGGTCTTTAGTTACAGCTCTCAGAATGTTTGGAGGAAAGCTGTGCCATTTAGAATAGTTTGAAACTGAAGACATTTTGTAACCTGCTATATCATGGAAATACAAGTTCATAGTTAAACTGAGATGAGTCTTTGATGGGGCAGAGGAACTTTTTTTAAAAACCATTCTAAAATACAAACATTATTAGACCTATTGTTTAAAAACTGTTAACATCTGTTAACTGGAAAATAGCATTCTAAGTAATGTGACAATATACTTTCAAACACTACATTTTTGTTTTGCTTAAATAATTACTGCTAAAACAGCAAATCACTTCTAAACTAATGTAATAAACAATGTGGATATGAAGACAGTTTCATTCTTGACGTGCAGTTTGCATCCCTGATTATGCCCATCAGTTACAGCTGAGGTGGAAAGAAAACGGGAATTCATTTAATTTACATTGGATGTACATTTTATGTCTTCGGCCTTGCAGTATTAAGTGCACCTTCAAACAGGACTCTAAACATCTAATATTTATTTATGTATTTTACTTTTAGCTGCCTGCTACCAAAATACCAGGACGGTATACAAAAAGTAAGCATATTAAAGCAACAGATTGTACAAAAAGATAAAATGGTGATTTAAGTCCTTAAAACTATAAATTAAAACTTTATTTTTATACTTAGACATAGTGTTTTTTTAATAAACCAATGTGGGAGGTTTATATTCCGTTGGGGAGCAAATTCATCATATTCAGTCATGACAAAAAGTCAGGCCCCAAGTTGCAGCAAAGTGGATCATCTACCACTGAAGATTTAAATGATGGGAACCTTGCAGAAGGAAGCAGTGTCTAAGGTATCCTGAACCTAAATCATTCAGATCTGTAAAAACAAGTGACTCCTTATATTGTACCCAGAAGTAAATTAGCAACCAGTGTAGAGATTTCAAAATTATTGTTAACTTTGTTTCTACAAAATTGACTGAAGACCAGTGTGGGTACAGCACTTTTTACCAGTATTTCACACATGAGTAGCCCAACACACAGTGCATTACTTAAGTGAAGCCTAGAGGTTACAAGTTGCTTTTAAGTCATTATTTGGGAAAGAAAGCCTATAATAATGCACACATTCCATCTAAAGAAATAAGGGGTCCTGATGCACAATTTGCATATCTGCTCTGTGTAGGAAAGTTTGACCCCCTATTATCTGTCTTACTTGAATTATGTCTCAATTTATTTTCCATCTCTTAAATCAATAATAAATCATAATTAATAGTAATTGACAAGCATAACTAAATAGTCCTATCTTGTTTCAGTTAAAGCAAAATTCAAAGCTCTAGCTTTAGTAATGATTGAGTAATTTTAAATGCCCTTGTCATGCTATACGCTTTTGGAGACGTAATGTTGTTTTATGCAGATACCCTTTTAGCACTAAGGATGCAAATGTTTTAATATCAGGGATACAGTAGTATACGTTTCTGTCATCAAACATGGTAATAATTGATTGGCAACAGTGTCATTAGTTTGAATAAGTGCTCAGTAGAGGCTTTGTAATCAATTCAGCAAGTAGCAATAAAAAGATGTAAGTAGGAACCCAAAATACAGCATTTAAAAATGGGAAAGTGGCAAAACCAGAGACCCCCCAAAACATTATGCATTTAAAAGCAAGTTTGTAAAAGTGTAAGTAAACATTAGCTGTAATATACAATGAACATCAGCAATTGCCTATGTTACAGATAATTCTGAAAACCCAGAGACTGCCTCGTACCCCCACTGCAGTCTATTTCAGGCTTACATAGTCTGCTCTGATTGATAGTATCTATCCATATCTCAGGTAGAAGACTTTTTCGTGACGTATCCCTGATTCTTTCAGTGAAAACACCAAGTTAAATGTTAGGCCACCATTATGTCATGCTCTTCTACTAAGCTAGGAGCCCACACTTCGGTGCCTAACCTCACTTGCTTTTATCATGCCATGCAGTGCAAAATTAAGCATATATTTTACAAAGCAGATGAGTCAAGCAGAAGAGAATTTGGACTTAATTTCAGTTTTGCTTGTGCCAGAATGCTATACTGGGTTGTGGCTCTTAAATAGATGTCTGTGATAATTACACAGATACGAAGTCTATGGCTCCAAATTTGCTATTTTGACATTTTCTTTTAAATGCATGGCAGTGTAACTGATGTAATCTTGCTTCCAACCTTCACTACTGGCTTTCAGACTGTGGGAAGGATTAAAAATGCCCTTTTACTTGCACGGTGTTCTGTACATAGCCCCTGAAATATTTATTAAATTAAAGATATCGATACAGGTCAGATGTAGGATAGACACTGCTTCAGTTTTCCCTGATACTGTTTGTTCATGCTGCTTGTTTGCCACACACCTGACCCATCATTCCCATTCCCAGCCAGCCAGGGTATCATAATAGGATGACATCTTTTGAATGAACCTTGTGAAAGTTCATTGTGAAAGTTGTGTGAGATATTTGGATGGCCAATTGATCCAGCAAACAGACTGGAAGAAGAGTAGACAAGGCATTTCTTCAATCTATTATCTGAAGAATCCATTTCTTCCTGCCTTGTGGTAGGACTGGCCCTGAATAAATGAGCAGTTTTACTATTTGCTTCTTCAAAAAAATTTTTTTTGCAGAAATAATACTATCTTCCATTTAAGTGTCTTTTTAAAAAAATAGTTATATATAGGTAATTTCAGTTTCACAGTTCCTTTTATAGGTTTGCTTTAAACCTTATGGAATATCAGTGAATTGTGACTGATGTGTCATGTGCTAAAAAGCTGAGGGCAAATTCTCTGGTGGATGTGCTTTAAATTGAAATTTCTACACTCTAGTAAAACCATTTAAAACTAATTAGTCCCAGTTTCTTAAAAGAAGCAAAAATGGAGAACTGATTCCAAACATTTGTGTGATTGAAAAAAATAGATTTATAACCATTTTTAAATTGTACTTTTCTTAGAAATTTATTTTAAGAAAATAATGTGTGAACCTTAGAGAATTTAAGCTAGTAGGGTGTTTGAATAGAAAACTATACCTGAAAATGTAATTTAAATCATTAATAAAATAGCAAACAGGTCAGTTTGAGTCGTGCTCCTGAGATGTGAATGCCTCAAGATGCTGAATAAGATTTAATAGTTAAAATGTGACTGAAGCTTTCCGTCCATTGAACTATGGAAAGTCAGGTGGGTCTGCATCTTCCCACGATAACCTTTTTGTGAGGCAGAAGATGCGGCATGTCTGTGGTTTTCAGTTTCCTGGCTGTGAAAGAAGATCTTATTTCTCCCCCTTGCTTTTAAAGAGCAGCTTAGTTGTACACCAGAAAGGGATTAACATGATGCTTTATCTTTGGAATAAATAGTAGTGTATAAAATGTTACTCAATACTGAGAAATAGAGAAATGATAAATGAAAATAAGTTTAGCTTTGGCTCAACCTGTGACACTGGAAGTAGATTAGTACAGATAAAATAAGCCAATTGTTTATACAATCAATATTTAATCTTATGCTATTTGTTGACATAGGGTGCAGTGGTGGCCATTGGCCTCCATAGCTTTGGAGGAGTTTGACGGCTATAAAGCACATTGATTTTGTGGTAGTACTGTCCAGGCTTCCCCATTCCCTTCTGCTTAAAAGACTCCCAGAATACTTCGCAGTTACATATATGTGAAACAAAACTGTTTTGCCTACATGCTTACAGTCTAAAAGGAAAGCAGGTTGGGAATAAACAACCAACTTAGACGTCATTAAGAGTTTTAGGGGTAAAGTTAAACGGAGAGTAAACTCAACTGAGAGTGGAGTTAGATTAGGGATTGGCTGTTGTTGGTTTTTCAATGTTGGCCTCAGCAATCGTTGGTGATAGCTGGAGGAAGAATACTCAATTGGAGTTGTATTCAGGCATGAGGGAACATTCCAGTGAATACATTTGGAAACCAAGAACAGAGAAGAACCCTTTTTTTTCACAAGGGTATGTGACGGCTCTGGTTAGGAAAGAGGAAATGCTGGATTAACCTCTATTCTTATGTGTATATACAAAGGCACAAACTTTTTCCAGAACTGTGCTGCACAGACTTCAAATCTATATCTGATGCTTTAACAAAGCGAATCATAGCTATTGCTACAGTGAGGACTAATTAGTCCAAACAGCTATTAAAAACGGGTATATGAAACTATTTTTCATATACCTGTATGCCCATCTTCACGTTGCATTACTAATCCTCTAATACAGGGGTGTCAAACTCGCAATGTCATGTGACGTGTCACGACATATCGTGACTTTTTTTGCCATTGCCGGCAATGGGGTGGGCGCGGTTTCGCTATGATGCATCGGTCTGCGGGCCGGCAGTTTGACACCCCTGCTCTAATATATGGGCAGTTATAGTGTTTCCAAGAGTCCTACAATAGGCCAGGGGAGTCTACATTTGCCACATACAGAGCAGAAAGAGTTATCATGAAAAGGAAATACAGAATTGAAACATGAGAAGCTTATGCTTACTTTGTTTCAAAGCAAAGAAGCACAAATACATGTATACATACACACACATTCATACAGATATACACATACACATGCTCAATTTCTGATTAATCAGAGACAGTTGGAAAAATACTGTCTGGTTTTGCAATTACTTGATTTATATAGGAGAAACCAACTATAAGGTGTTTTGCTGTATTTGAGTACTGTTTCAGATTGGATGGGTTTTTTTATTTTAATTGTTTGCCTTCAAATCAATGTTGATTTCTTGTGACTGCCTGGATTCTTGGCAAGATTTCTTGGAAGTGGTTTGCCATTGCTTCCTTCCTAAAACAGAGAAGCTCCTCAATCAGATTGAACCACTTGGAATGAGCATAG